TTTTCCAATTAACTTCCAGCCTATACGGCTCTTAGGCTTCCCGGATTTCATTGCAAGAATGGCCCAACGAAGAAGGAAGAGAAAGAGCGTTAGCCAATTGGGATGGGTCTTGTATGTTTAAGTCTCTATGTCGGTTCCTTTCAGGACTCATTCCGAAACACAAATCGTGAAGGATGACATGGATGGCTTCAGTGTAAGTGGCGAGGTTGCATCTGTGTACGTGCAGTCAATACACAACGTAGCGTTGGTTCAATTCAGAACTTTTCTCAGGCCATATCATATTTTCCGTTTTTCAGTTAATGAGAACCATTCAGACATTTCTATTTTCCTCAGCCTGAAATCAAAAATGGCCACAACGAAGTCGGTATCGTGAGTGCAAGATGGCGATGGCTACTTTGGAGGGAGCTGTTTCACCCATTTTGACGTTTACTTCTTTTCATAGACTGTGGTGAATATGAAATATGGTTCGTCACATGCAAATCCTCGTCGAATAGTCGTTTCACTCAACTCCACTTGCAACTACATACCAGTGGTGTTTTCGACGACATGAATTGATTAAATTCCCACTGTGAGTTCATACTTTTGTCTTTTCTCTAGAGCCTATAATTCATGATTCAGAATATGAAATGATAGACTCTCTTAAGGTTTACTAGACACCACTATTTTTCTCGGAACCTGTAGCATAGCTTATTTTCAAGAGCATAGCTTAATTTTATTTTTTTTATTCAGAGAACTGATTCAAATGTAAACTTCAGCCTCTTCTGAAAGACTAAAAGATTGAAGGGCTCAGAGCGCGTTGACCTATGATGAACGAGTTGGTTTCATTTTTCTCGATAGCTGTTGAGAATGGGAAGAAAGAGAACAAATTAAAATCTCTGCTGATTGCCCACCCAGAGATGAAAAATTAGATTTTCCGTACTGAACAATGTCATTTCGAGTTACTGTGAAGCGAATTCTGCAGGGAGGTTTGCTTTGAGCAAGTTTTTCTTCTGTCTCCTATTTACGGGCGGAGGTTGTTCAAAGATCACTGGCATTGCAACCGCATCTACGCATGTCTAGACGATGAAAAACTGTGGCGAATATTATCCTACATATTTATATGCCTCATGAATTGCTGTAGTTCTGCATGGGGGTCCATCTCAGAATGGAGTTGGCGTACGCAGGCAGAATGCCTTGTCCATCTACGTGCCTGTCCATTCTCGTTGTCTTTACTGAAGGCAGAGATGGTTGTCTATTGTCTGTTGCCCGGATCAACAAAACTGTACTGTAGATCACTTACTTTTCTCCTTTTTATCATATCGTCTGATAAAATTCAACGATATGCCGGTTGGCTGTTTTTCCAGCCTATTTTCATGTCGGTGACACCTATACCATAACAGAAGATGGTTATTGTGAGAGCATCCGTGAAAGATGAATTCATCGACAGCAATCTTGTTTGCTTTCCAACATGCCTTTTCCAACCACATTGACTTTTACGAGTGTGAAATTCCCGAACAAGGATATGACCATTCTCAACTGTACACACTATTGCTATACTATTTCCGGTGAATTGCTCACACGCCTACCGCTTATTTGCATTGAAAGGGGTTCCCTTTCGGGGTACATGGTAAGGATATCGTCATTTATTTGCTCATCTATTTCCTCGGCAAGGTTAAAAGATCAACACGTGGCTGGTTTTTTAACCTTCAAAACACTTTTACCTAGCGACTTTTTGGGTTCTTTTCATCACTTTCTTTCTTCTCTTTGTACATATAGACCCCAACAAAGGAATTCATAAAATTCAATTTTCTTCATTGGTAAAGGTCACGGAGATCTAGCGAAGTTCCTGTTTTTGCTTTGTTTTTCGAGAGGTGGGCTCATCAGCCACCGATGGCTGTAGTTGGCATAAACTACACTCTCACATCGTCACAGTGACCAGCACTCACCTTTTCTGTTACCGAATAGTATGTTATGTCTTTTAATTAATCTCTTTCTTATCTTTGTCATCGTTTTGTTAATATTTATTTATTTATTTATTTATTTATTTATTTATCATACATCTTTTTTATTAATATCCTTGAAGTCGGCACAGATGGTACAGTGGCAAGTGGGGCGCTACCACACTTGAAAGTCCCCCCGAATCCCGGATTTATTCTAGCCCATGCCAGCAGAGCTTCTAATCCCTCCGGGGTCGACCAAGGTATCAGACTCCATGGAGAGATAGAGGCGCTGACTTGTACATCGGCAGGCCACTGCAAGTAATTGCATAGACCACCCATGCGCTCAAACCTTTACCAATGTTCTGAAAGGAAGTCGAATGCGGGGAGCATATCAAAAACGGGATTAATTAGAAACTTTGATCTTGAAATGTAGAAATACATATTTGAGACCACTAAATGGGTATGGTTGCCCTGGAGAAATATGAGCAGGTAAGGGACAAGGTGCGCCTCAAACCATCACGGTAATCGTATGCAACAGTATACGCATAAAGTTATTCCATGTCGCCGTATGGAGAAATGCCACCGATCTTTGAATTTTCGACCTTCGTGCAATACTTGTCAACATTGATTTTTCCATGAATTCAGGGATATTGGTCTTTTTTGTGATTCATTTCAATTTTTTTTGTGTCGAAGTAGTACTAAAAAGAAAACCCGTACGGTAGGGGACCACAAATAGAAAGGTCAGTGTGAAGTCTCAAACGCTGGATGGGGTCTTGTTTACGTAGGCGGCAAACAAACGGGTTTCCAAACTTAGCAAATTTACATAAATGCTTGGTGATTGACTTCACCTAGCGCGAATACTTCGAAATATAATATAAACACTGAGTAAGCACAAATTGTCATGAAATTGAGGCGAGTGCAACCTTTCGTTTTCCATGGTGTTTGTTAGGTCATATGTATATGGATTCTAGTGGTGCCCTTCACAGAGCTTGCCCGTATCACATTATGAATATTGAAATTCTGAGAAAAGAAGAAATTTTTCCAGATAAGCCTAGGTCGCCCAACTGATACCTTTATAGAAAAAAAATTTTGAGCTTTTTCACATGAGAAAACAGTGCCGCAGTCCGCTATAAAGAGGATCTAAAGTCGTAGAAATAATAAAAGAGTATCGAAAGAATTGAAAAGATGACGGAAGCCGAAAAGAGGCTTTTTGAAGAAATAACTTACCGCATTTGTAAAATAAACAAGTATTCAAATGAGCAAAGTTGTGCGGGCAGAGAGAGGCATCCGTTCCACGAAGTATCGCGACGCCCTAACTGCCAATGCTTTTTGTCACCTCTCGAAAACCTCTAAGCTTCTGTTTATATCTCGCAAGTGGGTTCGGGAGAGTCAAGCGTCAATAACTACATCAACTTGATGTGGTTTGAAGCAATCAGCTCGACGAGGAATTCAAGGATAGAAGGCAGAGCGTATGTCGTTTATCGGAATATTATCAGTTCGGTGTACATCTTGGTTGGAGGTTCTGTGGTTTCCGCACAATCAACGAAAAGAATGAACTTCTCTGACTATGAGGGCATGTAGATATTACGAAAATGATGATTGCTGACTAATACTGATTTAAGCATGATTGGTATGCAATGTTTCGTAGAATCTAATGGGAACTGGAGCGTGAATTATCATTCAATAATTCGACACCTGACAGAAACACCTTTCAGGAATCTTTTTCCTACTATTGAACCATCATAAACACTTGCAGCAGGGTCTTTTTTTGTGTAACGAACCTCTGCCAAACTCGCTTTCTCTTCCCTTCCTTTTCCAGAGTCTTTTAAGAGAAGCTGGCTCAGTAGTGACTCATATTTTCTATTTCTTGTTAACGAAAAATCGAGACCTATGCCGTTTTATAACTGCCACGAGCCATTTTTACAGACAGCTTTACACATTCTTGTTGATAGGACAACAACAGTAATGTTAGTTTGAGATACAACCACTAGTACTTCCTTAGTGGGAAAACACGTAACTGGAGAGAAACTGTCTCGAACAAGCTCAAGAAAACTTTAGAAGTGAATCAGGAAGTAGCGCAATCGAAACAAAAAAGAGAACATGGCGGTGGGGATGGTGACGGCAGTGTAGATAAATCCACTTCTCCGAAATCCCACTCCACGAAGCTATTTCGAGTTAGACCTTATCTGTAGGAGGCAAATTCGAAATATGCTCAAGACAATTTTCCACAGGTCTTTGATGTTTCAACCTATGTTTAACATCCCCTTTTCACATAGAACAGTACTCTAACAAGCTGGTTTCCTGACTCATTTGGTGAGGAGCTGACCTTTGTTAGCATTTTTACAATGCTGTCGTCTATTCGTACGATGTCATGTTCATTGCAAAAGTATTAGTGTTTGCTATACTTCGTTTCAGTCCGTGATCATCGATTTCAGATGACAATCAATTACAATTTGGCCGTTTCAACATCGAAACCATGGACGTTATTCAAATTGCTACTGAAATGGCGAGGCAGCATATGGAAGTCGGTCATACTCGAACTGGCTGTATGGCTTATGTTCTACGGTATTATTAGTATCATCTACAGAACAGCGTTGTCAAGGGAACAACAAAGGTAGCTTTCGATTTCGTAAGCGCTACTCAATTTCCTCCCCCTGTACCTCGTTCTGTTCCAGAACATTCGAGCGGGTGGTTCAGTACTGTGATGCACGACTAAATTATATTCCTCTTAATTTCATGCTAGGTTTCTTCGTCACCGCTGTTGTGAACCGATGGACAACCCTGTATCAGATCATAGGTTTCATCGATAAGTTAGTTTGTCTTGATTGTTTTGAGATGCAGGCAAATGTTTGAACAAGTGTATCAGTTGCTTGTCAGCTTAGTTTGGTAACTTATGTACATTTGAACATCTTTTCCTAAAGATTTGATAATATTGAATATGAAGTGCACTGCCTTATCAAGAGATCATATTCGTGCGGAAGGTAAAAGGCATGAATAAGAGAGAAATAGCTTTGCAATCCCCGCGCCCAGATCTGGAGCCAGACTAATACTGGCTAGAGCTGCCGTGGTCCGTTAACGAATTTCTCTTCCTAATTTTCATGACTTGGAAATGTGAATCATGAATTGGTGCAGTGCTCAATTACACTCTCTGTCCTAACAGGGTTTTGAGGCTTATGCACTTTGTGCAATACTTTCCCAATTAGGGTATCTCACGCTGACGGTGAGTGACAACAAATTGATGATTTCGGTCATCACTAACTGAATATCTTGCCGTGTTGGGCCCTTCCAAACTGCTCGAATTTTAGTTAGTGTGTTACGCCAGTGATATCGTATACAAACGACAAAATGGCTGGAATTATAGTTTAACCTTGAACCTGAGTAGTTAAACCAAGATACTAACTTGGATTATATTTTGAGCACAAATAACAAGATCAACAAGGCGAAAAAGGAGAGATCTTGTGCCGGATGTGACTGATTGATTGACGAAGTGGATTGAATGGCTCATATACCCGGGACCAATACTCACGATCGGTTGCGCGCACGATTCGAAGATCCCGGGCCAACTGATCCTCTAACGAAAGGATATCGTCGTCACGTGATAAATATCAATTAACAGTATGGGTGATTGCAACACAAATTCAACAACAGAAAAAAGGTTCCTGAAACCTGACCAGTATCCTGGTCGCATCCGCGAAACTGAAACTGACTGCGTGGAATGCAAACCCCCGTGCAATTTCTGCTACATTAGAAGCTAATGATTTCGACCGCTGTCAGTCTACTCTTTTCACCAGTGTCTTCGTATAGGCTAAAGCATCAATCTTCCACATAAGCCCATTTACCTTAGCAAAAATCGCCCTCATCTCGGAAAAACTTCTCGAAAGCTCTCAATGAACTCCACTATTTTGCATTTTCATTTTTGCAACGACCAGGTACTGCTTTCTGACTGTCAAGCAGAGTAACTTCTGAAGATATTGGTTTTTATCGATCGATTTCGCTAGTCCTCATCGGTCATCAACAGTTACAGTCATCACATTTCCAAGTATCCAAGCGTGCCGAAATGCTTTGCCATTTTCATCTTCTCAGACCGAGCTGAGAATTTTTGATTTAGAATTTTCTGCTCATTCCAGCGCGTCCTCTGCTTATCATGAATATTTGCCCTACTTCCTTTTGGTTACACTCAACCACTTCTTTCTGACTATTCGAACGTTTTTTAACAAAGCTTGAAAATTAGCTAGCAGGTGCCTTTCAGGTGAGAGCAAGCGCCGTCCTTTGTAGGGTGACCTTCGAGCATATCTTAGCCATGCTTAGTTCACGATGTATCTTGCTCATTTACACGATTCTTTTGTTGCCCTCCAGGCTGTTATAGAAACGAATTGTGGGCTTATATACTGGATGGCGTTCGATTTGAGCATACTGTTTCCCTCGTCCTCTGCACCGGCGTTCAGCTTCTCTCATGCCCGTCCCACTTCAAACTTGACTAACCGCCCTCAAGACTTGTTGAGTTAATAACGAATTTTGTGACAGACAGACAGGCATAGCGTGCACTCAATAAATATGTAGCAGTAAGAGTAGCAGCAAGCTCTATTCGCTGCTATTTTCAAAAATTGTTAGAAGCTTTGCAATTGAAACGGTGTGATATTGTGCTACTAGTGCTGTGCGAGAAACTTCTCACGGATGTTTTAGCATAGGACTGATGACGGCCGAATATGTGCGTGGAAGGGGCGAGTTGGCTCGAATGTACCGCAGAAACATTGTGCGCTATTGTGAACTGGCACAAGTGTTGGTATTCCGAGATATCAGTATGAGAACAAGGAGACGATTCCCTACATTGGACACTGTCGTGGCTGCAGGTGAGATTTGAGTTTAAGTTGTTAAGGGTGAGCTAGACTGTTGATTCTTCTCTGATATCTAGGATTCATGATGCCTCATGAGAAAGAGCGTTTCGACGAAATCCAATACCGGTATTCCAAGTACTGGCTC